CCGTGGAAACCGTCTTCCGGTATTCCCGGTCAGCAAAGAGCAGAGGTGAGAACTGCGAGAGGCCTTGGAGTCACCGGCACCTGCTCAGAACACCGGCGGGCGGGAAGAGCTCGGTCTGAGCGGGGCTTGGCCTGTGGGGGTAAAAGGGGGAGAGCGTTATCCTGCGCCCCGGAGGAGATGGGTTCTGTGGCCTTGGGGCGTTCAGGCGAGTCTGACCACTTCTTTGACCATTTTTCCGATGCCATCGTAGATCTCGTGGATCGAGGCGTTGCACATGAAGGCGCTGGTGGTCACCAGCTTGTTCTTCGCATCCACGTGAATTTCAGAGACGTGTTTGTTCACGTGCTTGCACCCGAGCTCCTTCATGGTCTCGGCAGTCTTTGCGTAAGGCCACCTGCAAGAAGAAAAGAGAATAAACCCCGTGTGGAGAAGCTGTTGTTACACAGAGCACTTTGTCCACCAGACCCTCTGGCATCGTCTGCTCTTGGGCGAGGGAAGGACGGGTTCCTCCTTTCTAGAAATCTGAACAGCTCCTTGACTCAAAATCGAGTTTATTCCCTTGAGATTCTTGCAGTCTCTTGTGCCCCCGTATGGTAAAATATCCCCATTACAGACAACTGTAAAAAAATAAAATAAAAATCAGATTTCTAATTTTGACAGACACGCATAGAGGAATATGTAAGTGGCAAGGGGCACATAAAAAACTGATCGTTTCTCAGCCAAGGCTAATTTAATAAATGCGTCACATGGATCATTTATGCTCAGAAATAACCAGAACTCGTATCTGGGCAGAGTGGTTGAGACAGGGTGCTCTCTAGGTTGGGGAGGTGTTGCTGATGCCGTGATGTTCACGGGACAATTTCATATCAGCGCCCCAAGGTTACTCACTTCTCACACTCTGTGTCGTGACCCACAGTCAGCTCGCAGCCTGGGAAGATTTTGGCTGCCAGCACTGGGGAAATGCAGCACAGGCCAATGGGCTTTTTGGCAGCGTGGAACGCCTTCAGGACGTCCTCCACCTCTTTGGAGATGGTGCAGTTCTTGCCTTGGGTAGCCCAGGTACTGAGGTTTTTAGCCACTCCAAAGCCACCTGGGAAAAGAGACAGAGACGGAAAATTAGTGCTCCAGGGCAGGATTTCTTTTCAGGTATTATTTGGTAGAATGCTCAAATGGATTTGGTGGATGGCAGCATGTCTCTAATATTGACAAAAGAATTAAAACCAGACAAGCTGAACTTTTTGTGAGCTGACTGCCAGGAGATGAGACAGCAGAGGTATCAATCCTCAGTCAGGTATCATGTGTTACCTTTGAATTCTAAGTTCTGAGTTATGGTGGAACATGGCGACAAGTTTTCACTTGTCTCTTAATCCTTGCTCCAGGCCTAATCTCTCCCCACCGAAATCACATGGTCATACCTTCACTAAGGATGAATTAACTGCCAGATGGACCAAGCTTTTGAGTCACCCTCTCTCTGTCCCAGCCTCTTCTCCTGATGAGAAGGTAGGCATGTTGGTGAGGAGAGGATTGGATTACAGCCAGTAAAAAAAAAAAAAGCCCAGTAGATGGTACAGAGGATAACTCAATTGGCAGTTACCTGCCCTCTGCGCGTGGGATAAGCTTCTGCATTGCCATGTGCTCTTTTAATGTAAGTCTAAGCTAGCGTGCCAGTGCCAGCACAGGTGGAAGATGTCTCTTCTTCCAGTCCCTGCTTCCAGCCTGTCCTCTTCCCCAGTGGCTGTGCCCTGTTCCTCTCCAGCCCGTGACTCCCGTGTCTTTCAAGGCCTATGGCACATCTAAGCCGTTCTCAAGAGTTTTTGGGCGTGCAGACCCCACGTGCTCTCCTACCTGGAATGATGAGGGCGTCCAGCCCCTTGACATCCAACTTAGCCAGATCCTTGATGTTGCCTCTGGCTATTCTGGCGCTTTCAACTAACACGTTGCGTTTCTCCTGGGTTGGCTGTCCTTTCACATGGTCCACCACGTGCATCTGGTCGACATCAGGAGCATAAACCTCTGCCTGGGGAGGGAGAGGAGAGGCCTGTTATCCTTCAGTTTTGTTTCCTGAGCGTTTTAAACATCATGGGGAGTGAGTGAAAATGCTTGAGTTTATTAGGAAACAACTTTGCTGGTGAGTGCAGTGACCTTCAGGCTCACCTGTGGTATCATGTAGCATCAAGAGGGTCATTGTCATAGGGAGGAGAGTGAAGGCGAAGAAGCCCACATGGCTTATTTTGGGGGGTGAAGTGCTAGAGGGGGAGCAGTGAGTGCTTTCCTTCCTAGGAAAACGAGATGTCCCAAGAAGCACTGGTGAAGCCATTTCTTGGAGGTTTTCATGTGCAGGCCCATCAGTCACCTCCACAGAGCCAGTCATCCGCTACGCGTGCTGACCACCCGGCGAGCTGCTCTCCACCACATGCCTCTCACAGAGACAGGGCTTGGGAATTTCTTGTCCCTGGCCACTGTTTTCCCAAAGCCAGTGTATTACTTTTTCTGGAAAATGCTTCCCCTTCGTTAATAACTGTTTCAAGCTCACATGTGGAATTTAAGAGGAGAGGGTGGCAAACAGACAGGTGATATGTTCTGGGACTGAGCAAGTTTGAGTCCTGGGCTCCACAATTTAAAAAGGAAGGTATTCGAAGGTGTCCAGAGGAGGACAACAAATCTGGTGAAACTGGAAGGAATGTCCCATGAGGAGTGGCCGAGGCCCTTGGGGTTGTCTAGTTTGGAGAAAGGGAGGCTGCAGGGTGACCTCATTGCTCTCTATTGTTTCCTGAGGAGGGACATGTAGAGGGAGGTGCTGTGCTCTTCTCCCTGGGGTCCAGGGACAGAATGTATGGGAGTGGCTCCAAGCTGCACCGGGCAAGGCTTAGACTGAACACGGGGAAGCATTTTTTTACTGAGAGAGTATTCAGAGACTGGAACAGGCTTCCTGGAGAGGTGATCAGTGCCCTGAGCCTGTCAGTGTTCAAGGGGCATTTGGACAATGCCCTTAACAACACGCTTAACTTGGTCAGCCCTGAAGTGACCAGGCAGTTGGATCAGGTATTGTTGTAGATCCCTTCCAACCGAAATACGCTGTGCTGTGCTATTCTTTGTGTCCTCAGGCAAGCATGACTGGGAACTGCAAGGAGGACATTGATACAGCGCCTGAGCTTCCTCCACAAGGGGTCCCTGCCGATCAAGGGATGAGCGCAGGGGGATGCTCCAAGCCGGCCAGTTCAGCGTATGGCAGGAGGGAAGTGAGTGCAGCAGCGCCAGGAGAGAGGAAGGAGAGGCAAAATTACACACCGTGGAGAAAAGGTTTGGACAAGCCTCGGCTTTAAATAAAACGGGGAATGCACACTTTGGAGGCTTTGGAATTGGGTGGGCTGTTTCCAGAGCACATGTACCTCACTGCTGCGCCTTGGTACTTAATAGAGCAATTTGCATTCCCAGGAGAATGGCTCCGACCCGGATTTATGGGTGGCTCAGAGCTGAGCCTAATGTTACATCTCCCTCCCAGCCCCACAGAGTGGCTATCCTGACTAACGTTATATTACAGAGAGTCGCCTTTTTTACCCCAGCTGAAGTTCAGCTTGCAGAGTTCAGCTTGCAGGAACTTTTCTATTTTCAGTTCAAACTTCAGAGTATAAAAAAGATGAATCTCAAACAGCTGAAAAACAGTAGTAGTCTTTTAAACAGAAATACCAAAGCAGAGAAGAGAAAGCACAAGCTGAAAAAAGAACAGAGAATGCATTTAGGAAAGTTTGTTTCAGAGTTTGAAACACCAAACCAGTCCCCTCCTACAGCAAAGCTGTGAGAGCAAAGCAGAGAGCGGGGAGTTCTCCCCGCTCACTGTAGCAGCCCCTACACTTTGCTGTGACTCCAGTCGCCTCTGCTTGGCGATTATTCCAGCAGCAACGGGGAGCTTGTGATTTGTCCAGCAAACTGCAAAGCTCCTTAGAGACAATTACCTTTTGCAAGAGACAGAGATTTAAAAGCAGAGCGGAGCAACAGGAGCCAGAGATGGGGCAGGAGCCTGCCA